CGAAAGGCCTGTTCGTATAGTGGTTAGTACGTCGGTTTTTCATACCGGAAACCCGAGTTCGATTCTCGGATGGGTCACCATTTAAGAAAAAATTTAAGTTTACGANTTGTTCAATATTGGAAAAGCGAGCGAACTGAAATGGGCAAAAGTTAGTCAGTGAACTACCGGGAGATTGAAAATAAAGGGGGCGTAGCTCAGTGGTAGAGCGCTGGCCTTCAGACCCGGGACTTGCGTGGGTTCGATTCCTGCCGCCCCTGCCATAAAAAAACCCAGATGGCGGAATTGGTAGACGTACGGGACTTAAGATCCCGTGGATTTTTGGTCCTTGTGGGTTCAAGTCCCACTCTGGGTACCAGGTTCTGTGTTTCTAATGGTATGATACCCGCCTGTCCCGTGGGAGACCCGGGTTCGATTCCCGGCAGAACCGCCATAAAACTAATATTATTAATGATAAAAGTAAAGATTAAAGACCAAAACAAGAGAGAGGCTGCTTTTATTGCTTTCAAAAAAGCGGCTGCTTTTACCTTGCAAAAATACAAAAAGAATCTTTACTTTCAAAAAAAAAAGTAATTTCGGATGAAGAAAAAAGACGATTGAATGACTATCGACACTTCTAATGAAGAAAGAAATATACTGCGAGTTAGCAATTACAAGGTAGACCAACAAAATTTGGAAATAAAGTTATTGGAAAAAGGCAAGCGAGTAGAAAGTTTTCACCAGTTNAGTGGTAAACCCGGCGAGAGTCGAGCNCGCCTTACTTTAAAAATTGCCAGTGGAAGTGGCGAACACGGCGAAGAAGCGAAAGACTATATTGAGTATCGTTTTCTGAACTATCCTTTCAAAAGCCAAGCCGANTATGAGAAAGCCAAGAACGAAGCCCATGCTAATTTCTTGTGAGAAAGTTTTCCCGATTTGCCGAACTTAGAGCAATTGGTTGGAAAAGATTTGAAATGTGTTTTAAAAAAAGATGGGGAACGAATTGCGTTAGAAGTCGGAAACCAAAATAACTCAACTATTCCAAAAAAAGATATTCGAGCCGAGGGAGTAGAAATAGATATTAAATTTTACGGTCAGCAACAATTTGATTTAGATGATATTAAAGAAATCAACCCACCCCCTAAGCCCTCTTTTTGAAAAACTCCTTGGGGAATAATCATTCTTTTAATTCTAGCATTTATAATAGTCTTGGGAATTATTTTTAGAAAGAAAATTTGAAAGTGATTCAAAGGAGAAAAAGAACTCCCTAAAAAACCGGTGGAGCAAGTTGATATATTCTAATAGAATTTATTTAAAAACTTAAATTTTAAGAAAAAAGAAGTGAAATTATTGACTTGCAAATTGGCAGTATTTTTTAAACTTTTGAGGAATACGATAAAATTAATTAATCTAATATAAAGTGGCAGAAAAGAAAAAAAAAGTAAGCATAAAAGGAACAGAAATTTCCTACGAAGTAGAAAGTATTGAGGTTCCGAAAGGAGATATAGATTCAGTTAGAAATTATCCAGCGATGTATATTGGTTCAACCGACGAGCAAGGTTGACATCATCTCTTCCAAGAAGTAATTGACAACTCTATTGACGAAGCAGTAGGGGGTTATTGTAGTGAAATTAAAGTAACTCTCTCGGCTGACCAAAAAACTATCACGGTCGAAGATAATGGTCGGGGTGCTCCAATTGAAAAGCATCTGGTCATCAAAAAAAACTCCTTAGAAGCCATTTTTACTATTCTTCACGCCGGAGGTAAATTGAAAAGTAAAGTTTACAAGACTTCCGGAGGATTACATGGAATTGGAGTAACCGCGGTTAATGCCTTATCAACTTATTTGTGAGCCAAAAGTAGCCGAAAAGTAATTAAAAAATGTTCTCTCCATCAATCCCAATGAGTAAAGCACGAAGACGATAATCATCCTTGTGGTACTTTAGAGTGTCGTCAACAATTAGAAGAATTAAGGGAGCAAATTAAAGAATGTAATAACTGCCAAGAGGAAGACAAAACCGGAATAATTGAATTCCGGGAAGGGAATTTAACCAGTTTACAAATTATTAACACTCCGGGAACTCCAAGCGGAACTACCGTTACTTTCACTCCAGATCCAAAAATTTTTACTGAATTTACTTATTTTAAAATAGAAACTATNCAAAATCGCCTAAAAGACTTGGCTTACCTTAATCCTAATTTAACTTTAANTTTTTATACTTCNCCGGAGGCTGANCCAATTACTTATCATTTTGGNAGTGGTCTAACTGGTTGAGTAAAGGAAATAAACCAAGACAATTGTTTAGAGAATGCTGAAATTTGCGCGGAAGAATGAACTGACTCAGTTCCTCTAAGAAAAGACGAAGAGGGAAATTGAAAGAAAGAGTATTTTTACTTAAATTTTGCTTGACAGTATAAACAGGAAGGCAAAACTGAACTTAAATCTTTTTGTAATAACATTAGAACCGAAGGNGGCGGAAGCCATTTAGTTGGTTTTGAAAATGGATTAGTTGGCGCTGTTCGGGATTGAGTTAAGGAAAAATTTCCCGACCTTAAAGTAGGTATAAAGGCTGATGACATTCTAGAAAATTTGGTGGGAATTGTGGCTATTCGGATGGGCAATCCTCAGTTTTCTGGACAAACTAAATATAGTTTGGCAATGAACCCAGTTCGAGAGGTAGTTAAAAACACTACTTATGATTTAATAAAGAAGTTTCTCCAAGACCATGGCGGTAGTGCGGAAACCATTAGTCAAAAANTTATTGAAGNCGCCCAAAACCGAGTTAAGACTGAAGAATACAAAGAATCCTTGCGGGAAGGAGGAAAAGGTGTTAGTTTACCCGGTAAATTGGCTCCTTGTATTTCCAAAGAAATAGAAAACAACGAACTATTTATTGTCGAAGGACAATCAGCTGGGGGTAGTGCCAAGGCGGCTCGTTTTCCTTTTAATCAAGCGGTTTTGCCAGTGCAAGGAAAAATTATTAACGTAATAAAAGCTAAATGAAGTCGAGTTGCGAAAAATAAAGAAGTTGTCAGTATAATGAACGCTCTCGGATTTAGCACAACCGAAGCGGCTCAAAATTATTACAATCGTTTTCAGAGTGAATTAGACACTGACCTTAGTCAAAAGGAATTAGAAATACCTGAAGAATTTACTTATCAAGACGACGCCGGGCAAGAACAAATAATTTCAGCTCACACTACTCTCTCTCGCGAACAAGTAAAAATCATAGTTGAAAAAACCAAGGAAAAATTATTAAAAAAACTTCGTTATGGCAAAGTAATAATTATGACCGACGCTGACCCGGATGGTGAACACATCGCATGTCTTGGATTTGCTTTTTTTATTCGTTATTTTCGTTATTTAGTTGAAGAAAATCACTTATTTTTAGCGTTCACTCCCCTCTATCGCTGACGAACTAAAGAGGGAGTTAAATATTTTTATAGTGACAGTGAATGGGAGAATTATCGGCAGGAAAATAAAAAAGTTGCTGGTAGTTTACAACGATTTAAAGGATTGGGAGAAATGGATGCTAAACAATTGCGAGAAGTTGCTATGGTCGCTGAAAAGCGTTCCGTTAATGAATTAACTCATTCTGATCCTTTGGCTATTTGGAAGACAGTTCAGGATTTAATGGGTTCGAAAAGTGAACCCCGCAAAAAGCTTTTAGAAAGTGGTGAATATAAAAATGTTCGATTAAAGGCAACTGATGGTAAAGTAGATATTAAAGAAGCCTTATTAGTAAATTTTTCTTCTTATGGTTATGAAGTAGTAGAAGACCGTGCCCTAACTCAATTACAAGACGGTTTAAAACCCGTGCAGCGTTATATTCTCTATGTTCTCTATTTATT